TTGTGTTTCAAAATTCTCAATAAATATATTAAAACTGTTGTTCTCATATTTTTGTCACTAATTTTAATCAAATTTCATTTTATGTAATCTAGTTAAGAAATGATAGCTGTGTTATACACTCACTGGTCTGTATTATGCAGCATACTGAATCTAACCTCTTGGGTTAAATGGACTGAAAAGCAGAGGTTTTCATTGGACTCAATAACAGAGAAAGGATCAGTGAGAGCAATAAATTCTGACTAGAGAAAGAAATGTTTTGAATGTTTCTCTGTGTAATTTACCCTCTCCCAGAAACGTCACTTCGTGACAAAATTAGTGTCCACAGTGAAATATAGCAGTCATGGGGAGGGTGGGGTTCCATTGTGCGATGGCGGGTTCCAGCTCTCCGCCCCAGCCTGGGATGGGGGCAAGGGATCCCATTTCTTTTCTTCGCTTACGCCCCTCCCCAATTCCATGGGAGGAAAGGGGGGCAGTGGGAAGACTGGTTTCTCCCGCGCCCGTTCAGGGGATGCGGGCGGGGGAAGCGGTGCCGCTCTCCTGGGGGCCAGGGCTGGGAGAAGTCGTCTCTCTTCTCCCGCACCCCGTTCTGAGGGCAAAGGGGGGTAATTCTCCCTCCCCATTCCGGCGCTGAGGTCGCGGAGGGGGGAGGGGCGCAACAGGAGTCTAGAAGTTTGGAGGAATTTATTTTTAACTTTTCGATGCATGGACTTCTGCGTTGCAGGGAAACGCAGGCGGGCGGGAGTAGATGCTTGAAAAATGAAGCGGGCGGGTGCAAAAGGGCTAGCTTTCCTGGACGGTGTGCCGCCGGGAGTTCGCGTAGGACTTGGTAGTGGCCACTAAATCTGCCAGATTCTGTGCGGGCGGGCGCGCGCGCGCGCAGAAGGACCTGGCAGTGGTGCCTGGTTCTGATTGCGTTCTGCGCTGGCGGGCGTAGCAGGACTCTGTTGGAGGCTGGCTGTAGGATACGGTGCGGGCGGGCTCGCAAGGGGCGGAGCTGGCTGGGGAGTGATTCGGGCGGGCACATCTCAGAACTTTTGTTTAGTGTGTTGTGTGAGTTAGTTTCCGCCGCCGGGATAGAGGCGCCGGCCGGGCTGGGCCGGGCTCGGGCAACTTGCTGCTCGGTCGGGCTTGTTCTGCCGGTTGCTGCTGCCGGTTGTGTTTTCCGGCTGTGGGGGGGCTGAGCAGCAGCAGCGGGGGAGCCCCGGCCTGGGCAACGGGGTATGTGGGGTGGGGAGCCCGGGCTCTGAGTCGCCGAGCCCCGGTACGGACGCGGAGCCATGGATCCCGGGCAGCCTCAGCAGCAACCGCAGCCGCCGGCGCAGCAACAGGCGCCGCCGCCGGGCCCCCCGTCCGGCGCTGGGCAGCCCCCGGGCGCGGGGCCTCCTCCGGCCGGGCACCAGATCGTGCATGTGCGGGGCGACTCGGAGACCGACCTGGAGGCGCTTTTCAACGCGGTGATGAACCCCAAGGGCGCCAACGTGCCGCACACGCTGCCCATGCGGCTCCGCAAGCTGCCCGACTCCTTCTTCAAGCCGCCCGAGCCCAAGGCCCACTCCCGCCAGGTGAGGGGGGGCCGGCCGGCCGGCCGGGCGGGGGCGCAGCTGGGAGCTCTCCTGCCGCTATCGTCAGCGCCTGGGGGGTGCCTCCCCTCCCGTGTGTGTGAGAGAGAGTGAGGGGGGAGAGCGTCCTGTCCCCCCCCCCGTGTGTGTGGGAGCGCCACCCTCCGCCCCTGAGTGTGTGTGTGTGTGTGTGGGAGCGCCCCCCTCTTGTGAGTGGGGGAGCGCCCCCCCGAGTGTGGGAGCGCCCCCTCCTGTGTGTGTGGAGGGGGGGAGAGTCCCCTTCCGCCCCCCCATCGTGTGTGTGTGTGGGGAGGGGGGAAAGCACCTTCCGTTCTTGCATTTAGGGGTTTTGGAGGGGGCAAAACTCCCTTTCTTGTGGGGCAATTTCCCCGTTTACTCTGGTGATGCTCCCCTCTTCCTGCCTGCTTTCAGGGACCCTTTGGGATTTTAGCTGGGAAATTTTGTAAATAGTTCTGAGCAGGAGTTACCAGTCTCAGCAGCTGATTTTGCTGCTGTTCGCATTAGGCCCTGTCTCCGCCAGGACGTCTCACTCCCCAGCAGCCTACTTGGGCACCCAATAATTGCTCTCTTATTTTCCAGCTTTTGTTGGGAGAGCGGGATTTAAAGCCCCTAAAATTAATCTTAGAAATGTTTCACTTGAAAGTACAAAAGGATTGGGTTGTCTGATGTAATCTTCACACTGTTTATTTATCTGTGTGGAGGATGAGGAGGAGAGGAAGACAGGGATTGTGTCCAAACTTTAAAAAAAAACAATATGGATGTGGCTTTTCCACCATTTCATCATTGCACTCCGTAGGATTAAATTTCCCACATCAGAAGCTAATTCCAGTGCGTTGGTTTTTCTGTCCCTGTTGGTAGTCACCTTTCAGCTTTACTGAAGTACCATTAAATTAACCATATCTGCAAATTGGACTGAAATAACTTGCCTGCTGCAGTCCTGTTGTCTGAACGCTCAGGGCACAATCCTGCAAGCCTAAAGTAGAGGCTGAAAAAGAGTTGCAGGATTGGGCCCATAATAAGTCTCTAACAGTGTTTGTTCTTTAAGCCGCTTGACTCATGTGCCAAGATTGAAGTGTTGATACAAATATGAATAAAAGTTAATGTTTAGGCTGCTGTTCACTAAATTTTTGTAAACTGCCTCTCTCTGCTCAAATGTTTTTATTAAGCAATGAACTTTGTTGCTAAGTTATAAAATAGATTTTATTATAAGCTATTGTCACTTTATCTGTGTAGCCAATAGAAAAGAGATTTGCTCTGTATTACACAGGTGTCTGGTATTCCAGTAGTGAAGGGTCTGTCAACATTTCCATTATTAAACTCTGGTTTGGAAGGATTTATAACTCAGCTGTAAAATTACTCCAAGCTAAACTTTGGCATATATTTTCTCTGCCCAGGAGTTAATTCATTTCCCAAATATTTAAAAAAACAAAACAAACAAACAAAACAAACACACACAGTCTAGTCTTTAAGTTAAAGGACTGCAAAGAAAATAGCAGTGGTGATGGGTTATTTCTAGATTCTTGCTTTCTTGTAATTTATGAACTATGCATTATTGATGATGCACAGAGTTAGTCCCATTTGGAGTGGGTGGTAATAGCCTATTTTGAACTCTTGAAATTTGGGAAGAAGGTTACTACGTGTACAGCTAATACTTTTTACACCTATTTTTACTGTACAAGTTTTATCATGGTGTTCTTATGCACAAAGGTATACTAATAGGTATTCAGCAATCATTTATAGCTAGATGCTGTAATCATGTATATCGTTGAGTACATATTAAGACCACAATAAATGCAGCTAACTATATTACATATTTGAAATGTATTGTATGAGGCGCATGTTGTTAATATCGATCCATATAACATGCACCTTAAAGCTTGTGGGCTGTTTGCGTACATTGCAAATGCTACTAGAGTACACAGTTGAGCTCAAATCTTTGTTCCTTGGTGCTGGCTGGTTTTAGTACAATATATTGTACTATATATATTGTAGTAAATCATGTAGTTAAAAGCCAGTTGAAGCCATAGGATTATTGGGTTCATTGTTGGCCTTTTCATTTTAAAATGATTGTGATGGTGGTGTCTCTTTTTCTCCACTCTTGTCTGATACTGCAATAAGAATATCCACCTTGGGATTTTTGGGGGGGTGTAGGGAAAATATTAAGTGTAATACTTCACATCTGAGTGAGTTATATCCGTCCAATACATGAGCTGTAACTCACAAAAGCTTATGCTCAAATATATTTGTTAGGCTCTAAGGTGCCACAAGTACTCCTTTTCTTCTTCCAATACATGGTTGCTTTTGAAAATTTTAGCAAAATGCAGATACTGGATAATTGTGTAACATAGGCCAAATTCTGATTTTGAGAGTTTGCATGCTGTTACACGTAAGGCACAGTAGCTGATTTAATGAGACCTGGGATGAGTGTACACATCTGAGTTCATAAATGAGCCCCATGTATTCTGCAATACCTAGGTACAGTGGTATGGCAAGGGCTGACATTTACATAATAAAATGTAGGTGTGCAAATTATCCTACTGTACATGGAAAGTGAATGCCCTCATATATATATGTCAACATTTAAATACAGTTTTCATGGCTATTTTTTTTCCCCCTCCATGGATTTGAGTCCATATCAGGAAAACTACACAGTTTAACATGATTCACAGTCCTCAGTTCAGGAGAGACCCAGGTTGTAATAATTAGGGTTATGTGGGCCAGGGTTGAGGAAGGTTTGCAGAGATGTTGGTGGAAAACTTGATTTGTTTGTCCACATTCTGGCTGTAGCTGGTGCTGCTCTCTTTTTATACGCACCATACATACAATTAAAGTACAGTTTACTTGAAGGTTGGGAACCCTTTTCTTGCATATCATATCTTGCACTGTATTGAAATAGTCCTTTGGGGCCCAATTTGTAGTCGCTACTCCTGTGGAACTCCCACTGAAGCCAATGGGCTTTTACATCTGTGCAAGGTAGGTGCAAAACACCAACAATCCAGAGTAGTAGTTTACATCCACTTTGCATAGTCATTTCCACCAATTCAGTATGCAAGGGAATTGTGAATCAGGCTTGACATTAGTACCCTTTGAAGAATGGGGATAAGATCAGGCCTTAAGGTATGATCCTCACAAAGAAGATGGCTTTTTATATGTGTACAAAATAAAACTAAACAAGAATGAGAAACATTCAAAATTAATATTCTATAGGTGTATATATAAAAGTTTTGCAAGCTTGCTCTTTAAGTAATCTACTTTGGGCTACATCCTTGAATGTTAGCAACTTCGGAATAAGTAGAATTTTAGAAAAAACATATTTGCCTGCTTGTCTAGGAAACATTCAGTAAGTTAAAAGTAGGTTGTGTTCCAACAGGCATGTTTCTGCTGAAGTAAAATATCTTACAACAATTTAACTCCTGACAGGCCAGCACTGATGGGGGGTCAGCAGGAGCCTTGACTCCACAACATGTCCGAGCTCATTCCTCTCCAGCTTCGCTGCAGCTTGGAGCTGTCTCTCCAGGGACACTTACCGCCTCTGGAGTAGTGACTGGTCCTGGAGCTGCACCTTCTTCTCAACATCTCCGCCAGTCTTCATTTGAGATTCCTGATGATGTACCTCTGCCACCAGGTTGGGAGATGGCTAAGACGCCATCTGGCCAGAGATATTTTCTGAAGTAAGTAAAATCTATTTGAAAGAAGGTTAGCTGCATTTCTTAACAAAGTTTGTGTTCCATGTTGTTAAGAATCTCTGTGTGTAGGAATCGCTGCACCTTTAGTGTAAAATGTATTTTAAAATGAAAGGGCATGATTTTCAATAGTACTGAGCACCTATAGCTCCCACTGACTTCAATTGGAGGTGTGAGTGTTTGGCTCTTATGAAAATCCTGTGTGTTTTAAACATGTCTTCTTCTTGGTTTGTCTTAAATATGAAGTGGTGGTTTTCTGTGTTTGTGTTTTAAAAATCACTTGAATGTATATAATGATATTTTGACTTGCATAAAGTTCTTCTTCGGGCCAAAATAAATGGAACTGTCACACAAATTTGCTATAAAATGGATGTTAAAAATGTTAAGTAACTTTGGCAGATATTTTAGTGAGAGGAGTAAAGGATTGCTCTGATTGTTCAAAGTGCAATGATATAGGCACTGATTGTGCATTCAGATCCATGCATGCAGACTCCTGCGCCCACGCAGAGTCCATTGGTACGTGGATCTGATTACAGGGTTGGAGTTTATAGTTCTTAAAATTAACTTACATTGTTTGGCTTGAGAGGGAAAATTCATAAAATTCTTGAAAATTGCTCCTTACTCATGCACATATGGCTTTTTTCCTATAGTGAATTTAGTATGCCCTTTTCTATAACTGAGAAGAGCTTACATATGCCAGCAGTGTGATATGTAATCCATTAGGGAGCGTTTTCTTTAATACTGTGTAGTTTCTAAAGCATCAGGAGTCTATCCTCCTTTCTGAAAGAGTGACCACCAAGACATATAATTGGCCCTCAAATACTTGGACTGTATTTTTAGCATTTTCTTTTACTTATTTTTAACATTTTTTTTAAACTGGCAGGCTCCAAGTAGCCCATTATTTGTCATTTTGAATTTAGGGAAAATAAAGCATATATATAATGAAGCATTTACATAGTCATACCTTGCTTACCTTAAGATTATTGTAAACTTCTGTGTCATGTTTACCAAAATAAAGTATTCAAGCCTGAATTCTTTGGGAAATTAGTCTGTGTTAAGAACCTAAAAATAGGCAAAAGCCAAAGAGTATGTAGCTGTGATTTTTGTCGATGTAACTGAATAATACACGTTAGACCAAATCCTGAGCTGGTGTAAATTGGCATTGTACCTTTGAATTTTTGGAATTAGGCAAGTTTACGCCAGCTGAGACTATTTCCCACTGGGCCTTGAGGGAGCTCAACATAAATTTTGAAATTAGATCAAAACCGTTTTTTTTACTGTACTACTTAAACTCTTACGAACTAGCTTATATAATAGGGCAAAACTGCAAACACAACAGTCTGCTAATTCAGATCAAATGTAATGGATTTAAAATTGTGCAATTGATAGTGTTTCTTACTATTTTTAGTAATTGTCTATTTCAATTTTATAGAAAGGGTTTTATTGCTTTATAAGAGATGCAAAATGTCTTTACACTTAAATACACTTTTATAATTGATTCTTTAATTATGCTCATTCAGGTGAAAGTAGAGGGAAGGATTTGATCTTGGAAAGCTTTTCTACAGTTTCATTATTACTACAGAAAATCTTTTCCTTTTTTCTGCAAGTTTTCTTTTTTGTCCTTTCTTGGTGTCCTGGTATCCATTTCAAAGGGTCAGGTTTCAGCAAGAACAATAAAGAGCCTGAGACTGGAAAGTACACACAAGTCTGGCAAACTCATCTGCATGAGCAAGGTCGTTTGTTCTCAAGCAGACATCCAAAGTAAATGATTGAAAGAGCTGCTAGCTGTGAAGGATGTGTCTTGAAGGGGAAAAGAGTGGAAACAAACCAGGTTGTTAGGAAGAAAAATAAAGGCTGTACTTTTTGAACCTCTCCCTGCTGGGTCACATGCTGACCTGGGGAGATTTTCAACAGCTTAATAGGCTGTTTTCTTTTTACTTTCCTTGGGTGATTCTGTGCTTTGGGAGAGCCTGATGAGGACAGTTCAGAAGGCTCTGTTCACACTTGAAGATCAGCATTTGTTGTCCCTAATAGGTCTTATAACACTGTCTGCAGGTGTAACCCACAAGCATCATTGCAATTCAGAATTACTTGTGTTATCTTTATAACTTCAGTTCCAGTGAAACACTTTGGATATTTCAAAAACATACAGTAAAAATTTTTTTTGAAGAATTCCTTTTAGCATAAGCAAATGTATATTTCAGAAGTTTTCTTAAAACAATTATTTTGAACTTTAGATAGAATACATATATATAGGTCCTGGAAGCTGATTTAAACTGGCAGTTTGTCTATTTATACTTTGAGCTTTCTTAAAACATAAGTAAGTGTATCCAGAATTCTGCTGCTAATATAACTTTTGTGCTCTAATACAGCTAAATATAAATATATACAACTAGGAACAAAGAATGTAGGCCATATTTACAGGATGGAGGACTCTATTCTGGGAAGCAGTGACTGAAAAAGATTTGGGGGTCATGGTGGATAATTAGCTTAACATGAGCTCCCAGTGTGATGCTATGGCCAAAAGAGCTTGTTGATCCTTGGATGCATAAACAGGGGAATCTCGAATAGGAGAAGAGAGGTTATTTTATCTCCGTATTTGGCACTGGTGTGACTACTGCTGGAATAATGTGTCTAGTTCTGGGGGTCAGATTAAAAAAGGATGTTGATAATTTGGAGCATGTTCAGAGAAGAGCCACAAGAATGATTAAAGAATTAGAAAATATTCCTGATAGACTCTGGGAGCTCAGTCTGTTTAGAAGATTACGGGTTGACTTAATTCCAGGCTGTAAGTATCTATAAGGGGAACAAATATTTAATAATGGCTCTTCAGTCTGGCAGAAAAAGGTAAAACATCATCCAATGGCTGGAAGTTGAAACTAAACAAATTCAGACTGGAAACAGGGTGTACATTTTTAACAATGAGAACATTTTACCAAGGGTTGTGGTGGATTCTTCATTGCTGACCATTTTAAAATCAAGAATGGATGTTTTTCTAAAAGATATGCCGTAGACGTTATTTTGGGGAAGTTCTCTGACCTGTGTTAGGAGATCAGACTAGATGATCACAGTGTTCTCTTCTGGCTTTGGAATCTGTAAGCAATTTTTGCTTGTGAATAATTGGTTCCCTCTACAATATGCAGAGTTTTGGCCCCTCTTCACTAGCTTGGTATTGTTGCTTTTTGTTCCTATTGCCCTGTTCAGTAGCCATTTCATGAAAGCATGATCCTTTCTGGTAAACTGGTAAATAGAAGTACTGTACATTTATACAGAGTAGGTGAAAGTATTAGACATATCTTCAGTTGTTAGTCAGCCCTATGGTGTTGGTTATTGTAGTACACCCTATACTTATGCTTGGAAGGATTAGTTTTTTATCGATAAATTTTGATAAACATAGATTTCACCTTACACACCCAAACCAAAGACAGATATTTCCTGTGATGATAATTCAAATTTACAGATAGGCAAAGTAAGAAAAATGTTGCTTGGAAAAAAAAAAAGTTTTATTTAAGGATATTTGTATATCCTTTGTATATTTTGACATATGACAATTTGTGTTTTAACAGTTAAAAGTTTTAACTTTTTGAATTTCAACATCTACTGTAGTTAAATAATTGTCAGACCCCATTGTCTTACTCCCCATAATTTCACACAATTATGAAAATTTAAATTGATAAAAATTTTAAAAAGGTTAAAACCCATTATTTTGTGTGCAAACTTACCAAAAAGTGCTTAAAATAAATATTGATATCCATCAAAAATATACAATATATAAAAAAATTAAATTCAAATCTGTCTATCCTGCAGACAGTTAAATACAGTAAAGAAATTTCACTTGAAGAGATCAAGAACTGCAAATGCAATAATTTTCACAATGGGAGAGGCAGATGAGAAAATGACTCAAAATGTTATAATGACCAACTCTTGTACTCTTATATCAGTCTGGGATATTCTGGGGTAGGATTCAGTTTTGAAATCCCAACATCCGGCATTCTTACATTAAGTCCATTTCAGCATCATCATTTAAACTTCATGTGTAAGTTTAAATTTCTGCCCAATATGTGGTGGTCCAATACTTTATTAATATTCAGATCACCATTATAACCAGGAGTTTTATTAGCATGATTAATCTATAGTGTAATTGAAGCAGAGTTAGAGTGGTGAAGCAAACACATTCCTGTCATGTGTGGTAGCATTTATACTTCATTAAAGCTGCAAACTTCTGTGAAATGTAGCTAGAGTTCATCAGTGGTAAAATAAGTCTTGTCTCCTTAGTAAGTAGTCAGATGTTAGTCTGCACAATATTATCATGCAGAGCAGAAGTGTTTCAGAATGGACTGAATATAAAATAAAGATGACATGATTGGTCAGTAGATCAATCATGTGGCTTTTGAAGCACTTCCTGTTGGCCAGTGGTAGATTGACATTTCAATGAACTGTGAAGGGGGGGTACTAGCTCAACCCCGGGCAAGAGATAAAATGCATTGCTGCGGTAATAGCAGTCAGCACTTTGCAAAAGGGCAAATCCGTATACTAGATGTAATTTCTGTTGTTGTTTGCTTATTTTATATTCAACGCTGGACTATTCTAAATCATACAACACAGTACATTTAATTCCTACAAAAGTGGTGTAATACCCCTTCCTCTCTCCCCGCGTGAGGAAACTGCCATTGCTCAGTCCAACTGTCTTGTAGTTGCTTTTTCCTGCAGGAAGCCGTTCTTCCATGCAGTTTGTCAACAGCTTCCTATTGTCTTTATGAAGTGTTCTATGACTTCCTGAATAAAGCTGAGTTGGTTTTCAAGTGATATTTACTGTTACCATTAACCTTTTGTAAGATCTCTTATCAGATGGGTTATTGCTAGCTGTGTATTTCTTACACGTTCTGTACAGAGTTAGGGATAGATTCAGGTAATTTGATATAATATGGAACTAAAGGCCCTTAAAACAATAATGCAGCTTCATTCTTTGCTTTTATGTGATTTGTGAT